TTTTAAGGTATGATAGGTGTTTAAGCAAACTTGGCAATTATTTTGAAAAAAAGAGAAACGTATGTAGAATCAAAAAAAAATAGATTTACTTCATGATAATTTTCTATCGTTTGGTTTTTATTTTCAAACAGCCCTTAATTAAAAAAAAAACAATCCACGTATATACACATTTTTATATCACTTCAAACTAAATAGTACAGACAAAATTGTCGAAACGTGTAGTTTTGAATTTTCATTAGAAGCAAATTAATTACGGTTTTTATTTTTCCCTTCCGCAGGCGGGTATGAAGTGCCTTAAATTTTAAAACAGTTAGACTAACGATCAAACTAATACAAAAAATAAAGTTTCACTCAGCATGCGTCTTGTTTCACAATTAAAATAGATTTAGAATTTTAAGAAGAAGAATTTAATTGTAAATACATTTTTTTTAAAAAAAGCACAGAAGGAGAAAAAAACAACAACCCTGAAACCCTCTTTAGTCGTTGAAACAAAGGGCAAGTGTGATAGAAAAATAGTTTAATAAAAAAAAAACACTCCCAAAAGAAAATCAGAGAAAAACATAAAAATACAATCCAAGACTACGATAGAGAGAAAAAATATAAAAAGATATATTCACAAAAATAAAAAAATGCGAACACAAAAAGCTTAATTACTTTAAAAGAAAAACAGTGGATAATAAAATTATTTCGAATAAAGAAGCAACATCTAGAAAGAAAGAAAAAAAATAACTCAAGAGTAATAAAAATATAAAGCAAAAAAAATGCTATTACAAAAATGACTTCTGCTTTTAAGAGCTTTTCCCAGAATAAAAAAAAATTAGATAATTAAATTATTACAATTTATGACAAAGGATTGGTCAAAATCTGGCATTAATTAAAAGAAAAATGAAGATCGAATTAGAGGACAGAAAAATAAAGATACTGATTAACAAAGCTCTTAAAAAAAACTGGGGCGCATGACTTATTGTAAACTTAGACCAGCAACAAAAGATAAAAAAGAAAGTAAATTTATAAAAATCATAAATACTCTTCCGGAAAAATCACAAATATCTATTAAGTCGTATTGGCTCAAAGGAATGAGCATTCGATTCCAATGAGGCGAACCGGGTTCGAATCCCAGCGAGGGCTGGTCGATACGAATTCCGCATCCGGCTTGCAACGCCGGCTTGCAGTGCTGGCGTAAAAATATCTTTAGTGGTATGCGGATCATGCGTTTGAGTCCCCTTGCCGTCAGGCTAACGGAGGGAGGAAGTTTTCGTGGTTTTTCCCTCCATGTAACGCAAATGTGGGTTAGTTCCAGCAAAAAATCCTCCACGAAGGCAAATTTCTCCCAATACTTGATCCAGGAGTACCCTTGTCTTCTGGATTGGGTTCAAAATTACAAGGCTACGGAGTTTAGCATTAGTAGTCGTAAACCCAAAAATTGGGTCGGCTGTTCAACGACAGTTATGAAAAAAATTTATAAATTATCTTAACAAAAAAACTTTTATGGTGAAATGTGAAAAGGCCGAATTAAAATATTTCTCGAAATCAAGGGTCCTCACACTTTTTGAATAACAAAATACTTAAAAGGCTGACCTTCCAATTTATTTTAGAAAATTAATTTAACACACGTTTTTCTTGGGGGGGGGGATTGATTTGAGGGTAGACATACCTGTTTACACACTCATTGGTAATTGAGAACTCAGAGTCGCTTTAAAAAATTTACATAATTGGATATAATATTCAATAAAAGTTATGTAATTATAACAACTGGTTCAATTCCCTTTTTAAATTAATTAAAAATGATGAGCATATTTAAAACTAATTGCAATCGGCGATTTCATGATTTTGTCGCATTTAATAAAAACGTGGAAACATCAATCTGAAAAGTTGAAAAACTATTGCTACTTTTGAAGAAGATATTATTTCATAATGTAAAATCTAAGAAATCGTGCCAAACCTTGACATCATTCAAATTTGTAACAACCTTAATAAACCGCCAAGTTGTAACATACTATCATGAAAATTAAAATATCTTAGGATATTATGATCGAACTTAAATGATGGTATTTTCTCACTTTGCATTGTACCTTGAAACCACTTGTGCCTGCATTGCGTTTACAAATAGCATTTAATAACAACCCTAGACCAGCGGTACCCAAATTGTGTTCTGCGGAGCCCCAGGGTTCCGCATAAGGGTTAAAGGGGTTCCGTGAGTTAGTACTTTTTATAACCAATGATGAGTACTTTTATAACCCCTAGTAAATTAGTTCTATTTATAATTTCTGTTTATATTTAGATCAACCTATACTTCATGACGCTAGCGTAGCCACTGGAAGAGCCTCCTAAGCCGGACAGGTCAGTGTGGTGGCACCAGACTAAGGGTAACACCCTGGTCTTTCCTGGTTAGGGGTTGAGCATAAAATCAATAACCCTATCTTTTAAAAAAAGTACTTGTTACAGAAACTGAAATCATGCAGATCCATCTCTCTGAAGTGAGTAAACCAAAATATACCCTCTACTTCACAACTTATGTATATAATCCTACGATTGCTTTTATGGAAATAATTTCAAGTAAAATGCCAATGATATAGAAATGGCGTTTTTCAAATCAAAATAAAATAATTAACTTAGGTACCATAATAATATTACCAAATTTCAAAACATTTATCAAATTTTATCACTTATTATAAAATCATATTTTATTATTAATTTTACCAAAATCATTACCAAAGCGTTTTGGTAAAAATTACCGAGATTTTTGGTGTTTCCAGAGCTAGGAACACGGTAAATTTTACCATACTTTTTTTTTCAGTCTGAATTTTTTTAAATATAGAAAAAGTATTTTGCTAAATTCTGTTTTTTTACATTTCAGATCTGTAGGTTTAAAGGCGCTGGCGCCAATGCCGATTGGCTATGTTGTGTTTTTCCTCTTTGACTATCCTCTGTATGTTCCACTGCATTACTGCTTTCCTTCAAGGTGAGTTAATTACATGTATTTATACATATTATGCAACAGTATTCGATTGTATTTTGATATCACAACTTGTTGTACTATAATGACACAACATTCGTCTTCATCATCAATGACTCGACAGCCCAGGGTGGGCCTTGGCCTTCTCAAGAAGTTTTTTCCAGGTTAACCTTCTTTTCGCTAGNCTTTTAGTAGGCCGTTAATTATTTTTTATAAACTACTACTTTATAAACTTTTTATTTTTCATAAACTATTACTTTTTGAAATATACTGAATTTACTTTCGAAATTATATAATATAAGAGAGGGTAATTTAAAAATTGTTGAGGATCAAATTCAGTTGATACCATTTTGATTAATTTTTACGGTGATAAGTGAGTACCCCTTCAAAACTCAATACCCTTCAATATATAGCCTTTCAAAACTCAAAGTGTCCTTTTCTACGAGGAACCACCCTGCCCATTTTTTTTTTATTCCTAGGGAGAACTCAGTCTTTAATGAAGAAAAATGTTGTTGTAATCATTTTCAACTTTTATAACAGGGTTTCAATGAATGAAGAAGAATGAAGAAGATTTAATTTTGAAGTATATCATAACTCGGCTTATTTTAAACATTTCCCATTTATACCAAAAACAAATTCATAACTAGATTAAATGAAGCACAAGGGTTACAAATTTAACAGTAGGACATAACTTAAGATTATTACTGACAAAATGATGAAAACTCTTCATCATCTTAATAAAATGTTTTAATTTTTTTTTATAAGTTTATAACTTTCACAATTACCTTAATAAACTTTACTTATAAAGTTGAGGATAGGGCCGAAAGAAGGTTTGTTATTTACGATTCCATAGTAAGAAAAAAACAATTGGGAACCTAGACAAATGACTTTTTTTAGTAGTCAACATGTAAGACAGGTGGTCAATTAAAAGAACTTTCACACCCTTCTAATGTGTAGGATGAATTCGGTTCTTGATAAAGGTTAGCATAGCTGGTCAACTTGGCGGGTTTCACAGCATTATCATAACAGCCAAACACAAAAAAGAATAAATCCAGGAGATTTTAGAAGGCAATATAAATTCATAGTTAAATCATATATTTCAGTTAACTAATGCTTAATATAGTTTAGAAAATAGTTTAGAAACAGGTTAATAATAAATAAAAAAATAGTTTAGAAACAAGGAATTTTCCTTATTTTTTATAGTCGTAAAAATACAAAAAATATAATATTGGTTAATAACGACGTATAATATACGAAGTAAAATTGACTGCAATACTTTATCCATGATTGGTATTAAATAGACTATAATATACTATTTATACTATGCTTTTTGAATTTTTGTGTTCATAATTTTGAATAATAATAGATATTTAACTCATTTTTGATTTATAGTTTTAGAATTTTCCTTATTTAATTTAAAAACAGGGAATTCCAAAAAAAACTGAGTATTCTGGAAAATTAAAAAAAAAGCTTCTAATTTATTACAACAAATAAACTTATTATTTGACAATTATATTTATTTAAATACTCAAAACAAAAAAGCAATTAAGTGGATTAAAAATATATTTTAGACATGTATTTTAGCAGAAACTTTCTCAGTTTTTCTGGAATTTTTGAAAATACAGTCGAACCTAGATATGGTTCAAGTACAGATTTTATTAGTCAAAATACCGATATGATTCAAATAATGATATTATGATTCATTGCCGATATTATGGTTCAATATACCGATATTATGGTTCAAGATATCGATAATATGATTCAATATACCGATATTATGGTTCAAAACAACGATATTATGATTCAATACCGATATTATGATTCAATACCGATATTATGGTTCAAGACAACGATATTATGATTCAATATACCGATATGATTCAAAATACCAATATTATGGTTCAAGAGTATCGATATTTAAGTTGATTGCTGTACAATTTTTTTCTGCATCTGTATATGAAGAAGGGATACAAAAATACAAAAAGGCAATAACAAAATATCTACAGACGATCCTTCATAGAAGCAAATAAACAAACATACTTACATCACAAAAACATCTCATTGGCACAAAAAAGTTAGTATCCGATTTTTAGTCACTTAAAATCAATCTTGGCAATAGCACAAACACAACACATAAATCCACAAAATGTATTCACTATTGCAGCAAGAAGCATCTTCTAAACAAAAAGGATTATATTCTAAGCAATATTATTCTACAAAACAGCTAGGATTTATTTATTCGCGGATGTTACCGTCTAAGGCACGAGATGTGAATTTGCCTTGGTAATTTATAATTTTTCATTTTATCAGGCACTAGTAAGCAGATCGTTAAAAATATAGAATATGTCGTCGCCAATTTATCGTTTGTTAATCGCCAATTTCAGGAACTAGTTATCGTACATAAATATTTAGATATGGTTTTATCTTTCATTTAATTTAGAGGCATATAAATTAAGGCACTCTTTGCCTTTTTCCAAATTTGAAAGACATCCGTAAAAAATTTAGCAAGAATCTGTTGGTGGGGAAAAGGCAAATGGTCTAAGGATTGAAATTTTATAACAATTTAGAATTTTGTATTTAGTTTTAAAAAAGACATAATTAACTTTAAAAACTATATCTTTATACGGTAGTGCGCCTTAAAGTTATTTTAAAATGCTGACAAAAATTATAAAGGTTAAGATTAACATTTCTTTTTTATAAAATTGTATTAAACTGCAACAAAATTGCAGAATACTTTTATTTTTTAGGTCTGCATATTCTAAGTACAGCAGGCATTTGTGAAAAGACAAATAGAGAAATTGAATTTTGAAACAAAAACTATCGTAAAGAAAACATTCTAAAATCAGCAAAACTAACTGCAAGTCAAAAAAAAAAGTGAAAAATCACAAGCACTAATATATTTATAACAATAAAAAAAAATTAATTTCCTTTTGTTTTTAAACCTATGGAAGACGCGTAAGCTCGGGACACTAGTCGCATGAAATCTTTGCGCACTTTGGAATTTTTCCTTGCAAATTCAATCAAACATTTTAATTTGAATGCCGTCTTTAATAGGTGAAAATGCCGTGAAATGCATGAAACCGAGCGAGATTTTTGGGGCGCCGCTTCTAAACTTGGAAGACATTGGGAATTATAAAAAAAAAAAATTCAGTCAGGCCAGCGGAGAGAAGTTTTTACGGAGAACTAGTCGGCCGCCCGTATGCAGCTGCCACAGATTTGCGACTGAGCGACTTCTTGTGATCAAAGAACCGCCCTTGTCATCAAATGAAAAAGGCGAAAGCGGTCTTTTAGCGCCATCTAACGATCAACAAACGAAAACACTTGCAGCCTTAAAAGAATTCTTGGTAAGGGAAAGCAAACTGTATTGAATTATTTAAGCTATTAGGCTAAGTGTGAAGGAGGAAAAAACTTCATATAAATGTATTTTAATTGATAATTTGGGACTTCATTTTCACAAAAAATTAAAAATCTAAAACTCGTTCAAATTTCGTCACTTAAATAGTTTAAAATGGAATAAAAATTGGCATACCAATTCGAAGAAAAATAAATTCTTATTAAAAATACTTATTAAAAAATATATAATTATTAAAATTAACTTTAAATAATTGAATTTTATTATTTTGCGATAAAAATTTTCGATTCGCCGAGAAAGCTCTTGAGATGTGGTAAAATCCACAAAAAGTAGAGTTTCACCATGAAGATTGGCATTTATTACGCGAAAATCCAATCATTAGAAACAAGGTTACTCAAGGTAATTATTATTTTTTAGTCAGCTGTACTTATCTGATTCAAAATATTCAAATAATTAAAAATTCAACATTAAAAAGTATCTTGCTTTGTTCATTTGTTTTTTACTTACTTAGATAAAATCAGAAAATCATAATGAAGCATAAGTAAATGCGAAAATTTATTTTTGAAATAAAATCAATATAGTTAATATATGTGGTCCAAAATATTAGAATATTTCATTACGAACACTAAAATTCATTTATAAATGGAGGGAGAGAAAAAGTTGCTTAATATTTTGCAGCGTCGCCCTTTGCTTTGATCACTGCAATGTTACATAGAATAAGCAAGATATTTTTGTTAACATTAACCGAAATTATCACTGCAATCTTACATAGAATTAGCAAAATATTTTTGTTAACATTAACCGAAATGAATCACTGCAATCTTACATAGAATAAGCAAGATATTTTTGTCAACATTAACCGAAATTATCACTGCAATATTACATAGAATTAGCAATATATTTTTGTTAACATTAACCGAAATGAATCACTGCAATCTTACATAGAATAAGCAAGATATTTTTGTAATCATTAACTGAAATGAACTGGACGCAATTTTTCCCAATATCAAGAAAAAAAGTGGAAGTTGTTTTTCCTTAATTTATTTGCTCGCATTAAAAAATTATTTCAATAAAAAAATGACAGAATACTTTTTTCCTCCTGAAATCTTACATAATTTGGAATTTTAATAGTTTCCTAAATGACCAGCCACATTCTCAAAATATTCAGGAGAGCTATTTTCATGAAAAGCACGATTCTCATGTAGGCAATAAACTGTTTTTGTGTATAGAAATTCTAGGAAATCGTAAAGTGCCTATGTGGTAACAATACTGTGAAACAATTTGATGTAAAAACGTCATCTTTTGAGAAAAGATATTTTCCCCATCTCTTTTAACAAACTAAATGTTCTTGAAACCTAAAGGGTTGAAAAAAGCTTGAACTACAGAGTACTAAGCTAGTACACGGGTCTTTCTAGGTTTTTCTGAAAAGTACCTATTTTGTGAAAATTTTGACATAATTTGCGAAAAATTAAAAATTATATTAAAAAGTCAACACAAAACATGGTAAAAATATAGATTTATCGTTTCTTAAGGGATACAAAAATAAAGTTTTTAAGAAAAAGTATTTTGTGAAACTACCGTTTTTCCTAAAGTTGAATTTGTGAAACTAGCGTTTTACCTAAAATTAAATTTGTGAAGGTACCGCTAAACGGCAGTAAATTCGGCCTGGACAGACCCCTGTAGTAGTACTACTAACTATGGATAAAAAATAAAATACTAATAAATACAAAATGAAAAATACATATTCCTTTCACAGCACATTAAAAAGCACAACTAATACATTTCTTTAATCACGCGATAAAACAAAAATGGGGACACTATTTTTTGTAACCATATTCATATGCAAAAATCGCGACTAAAACCTTCATACCCCATTTAATATCGACTTAAGGTATATTATAGAGCCAATAAACACGCGCCTTCCGCCGAAAATAGGGGGAAGACTAATTTTATGACGTCAGATTAATTGTAGCCGGGGATACGTTGAAAGCCTTAGGTATTAAAATAAATGTTCCCGACAAGGCGAAATGTTCCTATTAAAAAGGGGTGTGCAGCAGCGTTTACACTAGCGTCGGACTGATTAGCAGCAGCTGACGGAAAATATTATTTTAAAGTCATTTTGCTACATGTGAGGGATTCCACTCTAGACATTAAATGTGAAGGTAGGGCTAGAAATTGAAATTGCTACAAAGAGGGTGATACAGTTAATTTGTGCTAATTTATTAGCAAAATTACTTCCCCCATACTGTAGAGAAAAATATTCGTTTTTAAATTATGGTAATGATTGATGGAGTAAAAATAAATAATTTTTCGCTGCAAAACAAAATTAAAGCGTCAAGTAACGGGGAGTCGTAAAAGTTAATAATAATTAAGGTCTCTGAAAATATATTTTTTTTCAGCCTTCATATTTCATCGTCCCCTACTTAAAAACGTGTTATTTTGTTTAAATGAGTAAAAAATGTGAAGTAATCACAATTGAAGATTTAAAACTTTAAAAGGTAATTTTTAAAAAATTATGTAGATTTCTTACAGTCTGTTATCAGTAAAAGCTGAAAGGGTGTATGTTAAAAATCTGAGCTTTTATTTACAAGATTTTCAACTCTCAGAAGTATTTGTGATATGTGCCATGCACCGTGTTAATTTAGCTAAAGGGTTGGTAAAAATAATGCTCTTTTAAATAATAAATAATCGGGATTTTTTTAAACTCAATTCTGGCAACCATGGCGGTTCAGAGAATAGAGCGATCGCCTCCCTATGAGGTGAACCAGGTTCGAATCCGCAGCGAAGACTGGTTGATATGAAAATTGCACCCGACTCACACCTATCACAGTGTTGACGTAAAATATTCTAGTGGTAGACGGATAATGTGTTTGAGTCCCCCTGCAATCAGGTGAGGCAAGAACAGTGTGAGGTTTTCCTCTCCATGTAACGCAAATGCGGATTAATTCCTCCACGAAAGCTAGTTTCGCTTAAAGCTTTATCCAAGAGTTCATTTGTCTTCTGGGTTAGGTTCAAAATTACAAGGCTATTGAGGTGAACATTAATACTTACAAACTCAGAATTGAGTCATTCAGCTGTTCAACGCCGGTTACTGAAAAAGAAAAAAAACTCAAACCCGATTTTTTCTTTTCCATTTACCAATTAATGCTCTAGTATATTCGGGTCTGTCCAGACATTTCGTGAAAGATCCGCTTTTGTAAAATTGTGAAAAAATTACTCGTAATTTATGAATATAATATAAACGTTAAGTCTCATTCTTTCAACCAGGGTCCTGTTTTTGTGAATTTGTGCAATTGGGTCCGTTATTGCAAAAAAACTTCTTCAGGGAGTCTATAAATTATAAAGACATACAAGATTATGCTCAACACTATAAAATTATAATTTAAAAAACTAAATTTTAAAAAATAAACAGCAATTGTTGCTACTAAATTACAGATGCAACATACAAATATTTGGTATTTAGCCTATACTGCTGAAAGCAGAATATTCATTTCGGAAGAAGCTTCTGCGGAAGACAAAATTTAGTTCGTTTACATCTGTCTTTCTCTCCCCCCCCCCTTCCTGGGAAGGGTTTATTCGATTAACAAAACAATAATGAAGATAAACAGATTTGTGAAGAGTCCAATTAAAAGAAAAACTATTTTGTGAAGTGTCCGTTAACGGACCCAAATTTCTTATAAACAGACCCCTGATATTGTAAGTATTAATACTTAAAAATAATAATGCTTTAAATGATACTTAAAATTATAATTTAACTGAGCTAGAACAACACCAAACTAAGCAAGAACATTTCACGGCATTGGAGAAATTCGAGAGTAGTTAAAACTATTTACGCAACAGGCAACAAACAGGTCCCTTAAGCGAACTTAAACTATTACGTTTTGCTCCCACTGGTCAAATTAAGGACTAAGTTCAATACTTGGAGACTCTTATCAAGCAAATGAGCAATAATAAAGAGATAAACATGCTCCTCTCCAAGATAAAAATTTTTGAATTTATTACAGACGCTTAGGGATTTTTTTTTAATGAAAAGTTTTGGTTTATCAAAGGAATTTCTTCGTGAATTATGTCCTTTAAATTTAGTTGATAAACATAATCAAGATACGGAAGTTTGAAATTTTGATAATTAAGAGATAAATTATACGCCTCTCGAGCAAGCTAAATTCCAAAAAGGTTTTTAAGTACTCTAAGTATTAACAAGAAAGAAAAATCTGTCTTTTTTAAATACTCGAATCAATAAATAAATTTTTGTTTTTGCTAGCCTTGAAGATA